TCTTAAGTTTAAGGAGAGAGCGCTAACAGTTTAAGGAAACATTTGAGTGCTCGTAGTGTGGCGTTGCTCTCTTCTCCATCCTCAAAATGCTCCCACCCGACTAGCCCGTCCGTCTGCTTCCCCTTCCCAGATCCAGCCTATGCACAGTCATCAAAATTTTCTTTTTAAGACAAACCTGATCGTGTCACTCACTTTTTGCCTGAAACTTAACAGTGGCCACTCACCACAGGCGCAAGGCTAGATTCCCCATCGCTTCCCTGCCTCCAGCTTTCTCTCCTGCTACTTTCCTACTTTTTAAATTCTCTAGCCACAATGAGCTGTTCCCCAAACAATGCTTTTGTACAGGCCTGGAGTTAACTCCACCCCACCAAGGTCTAGCAGATCTCTCTTCAGGACAGATATGTGTTTGAATGAACCATCATTTGTTTTCCCCTTTAAAATTAAAAAATTTAAGCAGGTCATACATACATATACAACATGTAATACTAGTTGAAGAATAAAAAAAATTTAGTACTACAAAGCCGAAGATGATGCTTGTTCCTCTGAAGCCCCCTCTTGTCTTATTCCTCTACCCTCTCCATTGAGAGGTTCCTGCTGCCCTGAATATGAATAATGTTAACCATTCCCTTGGTTTTTCTCTACAGTTCTTAATACTTAGGTATTTATCCTTAAATTATGTTGTTTGGTTTTGCCTGTATTTGACTTTTATATGAATGGAGTCATACTGTATGTATTTTTCTCTGAGTACAGGCCTCAGTGTTGTTTTTACGAGCCACGCAGGCTGATAAATACAGCTGTAGTTCAGGTCATTTCACTGCTGTGTGTCCTGCTGTATGGATGTGCCATGATTACCCATTCTGTGACATGTCTTGGTACACATGTAGAAGCGTTCCCCAGGGTATGAACTGGCTAGATCACAGTATATGCACACTGTCGGCTTTACTGGTGTTGCCCAGTTTTCTTAAGCAGCTGGAGTGCTTTGTCCTGACTGCTGTGACAGTGCTGTGACAGTGTGCTGCTTATCTTCTCCATGAAGGCTCCCCCCTTCTTGGTTCCTCCTAAGTAGCTCTTATGCCACTGAACATTGGTTAGATCAATGAGTCATAGTGATCAAATTGGGATAATTTCCTCACTTAACATTCTTCCCTCTTGATTTTCTTTCTTTACTGTAGAAGGACTCATCAACTCCCTATAACCTTGCATATAAGTATAATTTTGAATATCCAGTGGTTTTCAACATGGTACTTTGGATAATGATCACCTTGGCCTTGGCTGTGATTATCATCTCTTACAATATTTGGAACATGGATCCGGGATATGATAGCATCATTTATAGGATGACAAACCAGAAGATTCGAATGGATTGAACTTTCCTTATGCCAAACTTAGAAAAAGGATTTGGAAATTAGCTGTTTTGTTAAAATAAATCTTTTTAGTGTAGTTTAAAGTAGATAGTATACCTTAAATTTATAAAAAAGCAAATTTTGTTCTCTATCTTGTGTGCCTGTGATATTCTTTTAGAGTAAATTATAGTATTGATGTGAGCTGATTTGTGTGATATAGATTCCATAATATTCTCAAATACTATGATATAAGCATTTAATATAATTTCATTCCATTTAATATTTGGAAATATGCACTGAAATAAATGTAAAACATTTAGAATAGTTTGTGTTATTTATGTTTGGAAAAATGCACTGAATTTGAAATGTTTGACTTCCTTAACACAAGACAGGTGAAAGTGGTATTTGGGCTGTTAGATAGTATGAAACATTTGTAAATGTCTTAATGCAATGTAAGTATCTCTGAAACAAGAGGCAAAACGTTTTTAATTTCAAGCAGCTGGAAATTATGAATGTGCTTATACAGTCAGATTTGGGAACCACATCTGATTGACAGGTAGCTGTTTTTTAATGTTCTAAAAGTTTGGTGATCTGAATGGTCAGGTGTGGATATTCAAGATACTACACTGATCTTAGGAGGAGAAACTAGCTTTGTGGAGTTATAGATGCTTGTAATTATGTGCACAGAAACAAATTTGGGGGACATCTTGGGGCATGAATATAAATTCTTTTTATTTCAGTAATTTTCTCCCCCTATGTAAGTTACTATGGTTTGTGGTACAACATCTTTCTATAGAATGTTAAGTGGAAGTAGGTGCGCCCTACTTTTCATGTGGAAGTGGACCAATGTCTATGAAGAGTGACAAATAAAGTTAATAATTCCAAATCTGTGTCATTTTCAATACTAAATCTATTTCATATTGTAAAAGCCTAACTAAACAGGGTTTTATTTAATCAGAATTGGCTGTTTTGTTACATAATTTTTTTAAACATTTATTTATTCTCACTGCTTTCTGAGATTCTTGTTACTGAATTTATAGACTATATGATAAATTCACACTAGACTTTAGGTAGGGAAGGTTTAAGTTTCCCTATAGCATTTAAAAAGGTAAATACACAACTAATATGGTTAGAGTATGAAGGGGACTATCTACGGTAAAGGCTTAAGGTTATAACGTTTTAAATTCTTACAATTAAGACTTACTTACCTAATTAGAATTTTAAACTTCATGATTATATAGCTAAATTATTTTAGTAGGAGAGTTGTGCTGACCTGTCCTGCCCCTGGGAACCCTATTTGGATTTAGTCTCAGCTGTTTTTGCCTCTTCTTTGCAAAGATCATCACATTATTTCTAAATAACATGTTTGAGAAGATGGAGTCTATGTAGTTGTGTTTTCTACCACTTACTGCAAGATACCTTTGATAATTACAGAGCACAGAAAAATTTTTTTTTCTTTTTGAACTATAGTGAAGCTGATAACTCCACAGGAAAGAAAAGCTACATTGTCCTAAAGTATTCTCCCTCCACCACTACCCCCTGCCAAGTCGATGCGGGTGAAGGGGTTTCAGCCACCTAGCCTGAAACACTCTGATCCCCGTGGAACCCAGCAGGGCTTGCGCCTGGGGGACAGGAATCTCTAATGCTGCAGGGTGGTTAAAATCCATTTTTCTTTCACAAGTTTCTTATATACATATTACTGTAGAAGTTAGGTTGTTATGATTAAATATGAAGTAAACCAATGCCTTGGTAATTTAAAACTGATGAGACTTAGGTTCTAGAAGAAGAGGAAAAACTAATTACACGACAGCACTAATCCTTGCAGGGTAAACGGCATCAGCACCCTGCGATCTTGTGCTGGGCAGACAGCTATTAATTAAAATAAATGTTCTGCCAAGATTATTATACCTGTTGCTGATGATTTGCTCTTAAATTGTCTAATTTGTTCAGGAACATAAATCACAGTGTCGAGATTTGTGTGAGAGGCAGGAAAGTCAGGCTCATGGCAGACTTCCACTGACACTGAAAGAGAAAACCCAATCACTTTATGTCTAATTGGAATATTCCAGGCTTATAAAACATCTGAGATGCTACATATGGTACATACTGCTTATAGCCTAGTTCTATTAAGAATAATACAGAATTGATTTTTATTTTCTTTAGCTATGTCTTTTTTGAAGGCATAATACCTGAATCCATTTTCATCGGTACCAAATAATATGGAAGCCATAAGCTTACTTTTCAATGGATGATGAACAATTTCCAAAGCATGCAGTGGCATTGAGCCTTCCAGCCTTGCCTTTAGGTAGGTTTCTTTCTAGTCTTTTCATGATAGTATGACTATGCAGTGGTTTCTTAGAGAAATAAAGAACTGTCAGAAGAAGGCATTACTTAAGAAGCACTGTGATTAAAATACAGATGAATTCAGTTAGCCAATTCACCGCTTACTAGCTGAACAATCGTGGGCAGATCTCTTAGTCCTCTCTGAACCAGAGTTTCTACTCTATATAATGGGGATGGTAATACTCCAAGTTTGTGAAAATCAGTGTTCACTGGGATAACATGCTCTAAGGTTTGTGAAAACTTACTATGAACTATGATAATAGGTACTAAATTCAAGGAACTCTGCTTGGACCCATCATTGAACCAATGATAAATATGAGCCAGTTTCTTGGTTGTAAGTGCTAGGAACAAACTGGTTACTAAATTAAGTCAATTATCCTACTAGTGACCTTCTATTGGACCAAGATCCAATTCAGGAGCACACTTTGCATATACCTGTCCGGTCTCCTTCATCTCCTTTACTCTGGGATAGTTCACTTTTGAAAAAAAGTAATGGCCAATTATTTTTATAGAGTGTCCCTTAATTTGGTTGGTTTGGTTTGATACTTGCTCATGATGTCAAGAGGCACACGATATCAATATGTCTAATCTTTGGTGACACTAACTATGGTTAAGGTCATACCTGTCAGGTTTCTCCCTTATAAAGTGACTATTTTTTCTTTTGTGATTAGACCCTTTTAAGACACATTTATATCTCATTCTTTCATCATACTTTGACCATTTTAGCATCCATTGATGATTCTTGCCTGAAATGATTACTGTGGTGTTGGCCAAATGATGATTTCCTCTTTCCATCATCCTTTCTATATTTATTAATTGGAATTCTGTAAAGAAGAGCTTTCCCTTCTTCCCCATCAGTTTATTTAGTTCATTATTTTATATCAGCATGAACTCATGGATACTTGTTTTAGTCTCTGTGTTGTAATCCATTACTATCATGTTGTTGTTTAGTTGTCCCAGATTTGGTCACTGGAAGCCCCTTTCATTGGCTCCTGTGTCCTTTTGATATCATTTTTGAGTATTTGTTTACTTTCTGGCACCACATGACATATTTATGGACTGCATTTTCAAGTTAACCACCAGCAACCTTTATGTGGTGGGAAGAAAGGTGGGTGAGGAGGGCGGTAAGGAAATAAAAAGTGGTATCAGCTGGAATATTAAACATATATGTGACAAAATGAGGAAGGAACGGGGGGTAAATGTTACGGCTCTTGTTTCAAAAGATAGCAAGGTTGGTTGGATTTTACGACTTTTTGTCTACCACTCCTATGTTCCCTTTACCTTCAGTATCCCTGAAGATTGAGTCCTCCAGTTTTGCCAGTCGACCAGGTGAGCTGCTCAAAGTGGCCCAAGGGCTGGTGCCAGTCTGCACTGTGATAAGTACAAAAACTGAGATCAGTGTTGAGAAATTTTTATAGCAATTTGACAGTACATGATATCCAAACACAATCAACAGACTCATCTTGCTGCACAAGGTACAGCCCAGCGTGGGTGTTGTACTAGCTTGCATGGTGGGTCACAAATAGTATAAGCTGTGGCCTGGTCGTGCACAACCAAACCATGTTCTGATGGGAGATATTTTAAGGTTCGTTTACCAACTGTTACCCAAAAGTATATAAAAAAATTCAGAATTTATATTTAACTCCAACTTTTACATCATAAACTGTTGAAACAGGATGGAGATCGGAAAACATTTTGAGAATGAGTCGTCCCTTGCTTTTATTGTGGATGAAAATTTAAAATGAATTATCCCAACCAAGCTTGCTGAATTACTTTAAAATCTCTTCTTCCATTCTTGTCAACATACTCTGCGAGACTAGTTTCTACTATAAATGTTATTAAGACAAAACATAGAAATAGTCTAGCTATATATCATCCACTACGTGTAGCGCTGTCAACAGTCCAACCTCAATCAGGTTAACAAGCAACCAAGCCTATTTGTCACATTTAAAACTTTAAATGTTAATATCCATGGTTTCTGTTCAAAGTGTGCATATGGACATTTAATGCAGAGGGATTGCTTTGACACATAACTTTTTATTTAGTTAACAATTAAGGAATGATAAAGTTATGAATAGGTTATTATTTGCCTACATATTCACTTTCAATGAATGTATACAGTTTCAAAAATTTTTTTGTTTCTTCTGATCATATTGATTAAAATGCAATTTTATCTTATAATAAAACAATTGGGCTTTTGTCATTCAAAAAAATTTCATTTTCGTGGTAGTTAATTTTCATTGTATTATACAAAAATATTGGTCCACAGTGGATTTGCAATTAAAATAGAATCTTTAATTAAAATTAAAATTCGTGCTGTCCCTTTACCACAGCTCAGAAGCACTGCCCCAGTAGAGTACCTGCCTGTCCTTCCACCCCACTCCCTGCCTGTGTGGCAACAACCCTGTTTACTCTTTGGGAGGACATGGAGGTGCTACTGAACTAGCACAAAATGCCTGCAAGTAGGAAAAACATTTAACTCAATGCAAAACTACTTTAAGAAGAAAACAAAAAATAAAAATCAGCCGATAAAAATTCTCCCCATAAGAGCCAACAATGAAGCAGAAGAAAGAAAACTCTAATACTAAAATCCAAAATGAATGAAATATTCTGGAATACATTTGTCAATATAAAAAAATTCTAACATCAGAAACACAAAAACTAAGAATGGAAATGGACAAACAACAGGTAGAAATGCAAGAGAGTTGACTAACTCAGGAAAGAGATTGAAGTAAAAGACAACCACCTAAAATGAATAAATTACAAGGCAGCCCAGCGAGAATAGATTCAAACAAAACTTTAATAAAGGATATTGACTAAGAATGGGTGGGAAAACCCAAGAAAATGAAAATCAGATAAATAAGTATAAAGGGTCACAGAAAAAAACTGGTTGAAATGGAAAATGTGTAAGAAAACTCCAACATACATATAATTTGAATCCTTGAAGAAAAGCAATGGAAGGTAACTAATTTTTTTAAAACTCTTAAGCCAAGAAAATTTCCCAGAAATAAGAGAAAACAAATCTACATATTGAAATGGCCCACCATGTACTTTAGGAAACTGACATGAATCTATCAAGTCTGAGACACATCTTAATAAAATTTTCGACTTTTAAGGCAAAAGATCTTCAGGCCTTCCAGGCAAAAGGTCAAATTACTTATATGGACAAGAAAATCTGCCTGGCATCAGACTTCTCAAGTGCAACACGCAAAGCACCTCAAGGGTGGAACAGCATTTTCAAGAAACCGAAGGAAAGAAAAATGCAAGCCACGAATATTATTATCTAGCCTGGCTGCCCTTTAGAATCATAGATAGAGAAAACAAGTTTCAATTTTGAAACACTCCTAAAAGATACAAAAATAGACTTGACAAATGAAAAGACATCTTTTTGAATAGGAAAATATCATGTATATCAGTCAGTGTGCTCCAGAGAATACATGAAAAAAAAATATTCACATACACACAGATTTATTTTAAGGAATTGGTTCATCTGATTGTGAGCACAGGTCAGCAGGCTGAAAACTCAGACTGTATTTTTATGTT